GGAAGGGAAGGGGGAAGAGGCAGAGAAACCAAACAGAAAAAGAAGAAGAGATGAATCATTAAAAAAGAAGAACTCAAGCCCTAGATCTGTCTCCTCAGAAGTAAGCTGCATGTGGCATTTACAAAGGGCCCACAAGACTACACTACAGAGTCCCACCCACATTGGCTTATTTCCCCGAGTTTTATTTGCACCATCTTGGGGCCCACCCCTACATTTCTAAGACCACCATAAGACAAGAAATAAGTATACAGTACTTTCTCCCATGAGATTCCATGAGAGAGGAATCATTTAAAGAAGAAGAAGAAGAACCCAGGCCCTAGATCTCTCTCCTCAGAAGTATGCTTCATGAGTTACAATGGACCCCCACAGAAAGGAGGCTAGGATAGGAGCATATTTACTTACTTATTTGTACCATGCCTTTCTCCCAGAAGGGACCCAAGGCAGCTCAAGGATTTATTTTTATTTTTATTTGTTTTTAAAAAGGGGGAGGTCAAGGTTTTACTTGGCCCCACAAGAAGCTGTTGCAAGGTCATACCATATTGGCTTGTTTTCCCTAGTTTTATTTGCACGGCCTCATCTTTGGGGAAAGAAAGCTCACCCCTGAATTTCTATGGCTAAGATAAGACAAGAAATGATTATAATTTCTCCCAGCATTTATGATATCTTAAGGCCACTATAAAGCAAAAAATAATTATAATTTCTCCCAGTGTTTATAATATTCTAAGGCCATGATAAAACAAGAAATAATTATAATTTCTCCCAATGTTTATAATATTCTAAGGCCATGATAAAACAAGAAATAATTATAGTTTCTACCAGTGTTTATAGTATTCTAAGGCCACGATAAACCAAGAAATAATTATAATTTCTACCAGTGTTTATACTACCTAAAAATATAATATCTAAGCATTATCATTCTCTTTTACTAATAGATAGTCTGAATCAACATTAAAAAGATACAAAGGCATCTAACTGAGCACCTTCCAGAGTAACTGAGGAAAAAGTAGTTTCTAGTGTAAGCCTCCCATTAAGTAGACTAGGAAAGCTTATGTTACAAATGTCTTTCAGTTTCAAAGGCCCACAGGATTCCACTCTGTCTCTTTATATAGTTTCTATTATTATTATAAAATACTATGCTATAAACTATAATTACAGCCATCATGGTTTAGTGGTTTGAATGTGGGACTATGACTCTGGAGAACAGGGTTTGAATCTCCTTGGGCAAGTCACACTCTCTCAGCCTCGGGAGATGGCAAGGGCAAACCCTCTCTGAAGAAACTTGCCAAGAAAACCCCATAACAGATTTGCCTTAAGGTCGCCATAAATCAAAAAATGACTTGAAGGCCCTCAACAACAACAACAACAACAAACTATAATCACCATAAACTATAATTGGTATATTAGTCATTATGTCATTCTTGTTTTGACTATTATTTTTAAAGCCCCTAGAGACAAAATAAATAAAATATCATGTCAAGGTGGTTTTATACGAGTGTGTGTGTGTTTCAATTATGTTTTTGTTTTTTTACTTTGGTGTGTTTCTTGTGTTAACTTTATACTGTTTTATCTAGATGATTTTAATCGTTGTTTTTAAAATATTGCCATGCCTTTTAAAATGTTTTTATTTTGGGGCCCTTTCTGGCAGAAAGATGGCGGCATGGAAATGAACTAAAAATACAATTTACATTTTATTGCAATTTCTTTAAAAAATGTTTTTGTCTATGAGCCGCCTGGAGTCCCTTTCTGGGAGACAGGCAGTGCACAAATCAAATGAAATGAAATAAATAAAATACCCCTCAAAGCTGTATCTTACTTTTAAACTTTTGTATGTTTTTAATCTTAATTTGATACTGTTTTAACTAGGTTATTGTAATTGATTTTTTTAA